TTTGAACTCTCTCAAGATCAATATATGAACTTCTATAGTTTCTTTTTTCACTGAAATCTGAGCTGTTGTTTTTTGTTTTCTAACACACGATATGCCACAGCAATATGTTTTTTAAGTTAACACTAACTTTTAAGTGATCGAACTTGTTACATTTTTTATGTTCACTAATAAAACAGGGAGTCGTTCACTGATAAAATATGTAGAGATATGCAAACTAATGAAAACCATATGCCTCACGCATTCCTCTTTTCGTCAGTTAACTCAGTAGTTATCAAGTATTCTTTTTCTTCGTCATTTTAACTTCCTCATGCTTGCGTTCTTGGGCGTGCACATCGCACACAGAAGCGTGGCGGCGGCACACATCACACATAATTCGTTTCTTCACTGGACTTATCTCCATTTTTAATTATAACTTCAGCAATCGGTCGCAAGAGCTCCATCCATAGATGCTTGGGGGCATTGATGACTTTGGATTAGAATCAATTCGATAAAGTTAGGAGAGGGAGAGAGAGAGAAGTAGCACCACATGATAGATAAACAAAATTGTGATGACACACAATCAATAGAATTTGCTGCAGCACCGGCATGGGTGAAAGCAACTTTTTCCCACATGATTCCTTCCACTGTTAGATTCATTGAACTGCTCCAAATCTTCAGCCATTCACAACACAAACAAAATAGGTGGCAGTCTTCCGCGGCCATGGGGAACGACGCCGATGGGTGGAGGTGATTTGGGAGTAGCGGGAGCGGGAGGAAGGCAGGGTGCAGCGGCGGGTGGGATGAAGTGGTGCTCATGGTGGAGTGAGGCGACAACCTCGGCGTTTGTTGACGCGGCGCCGGAGCCCGTCAAGGATCCAGGGGAGGGGATGGTGTAGGGATGCGTGGAGCCGGGAAAGGGAGCACTCGCGTCGCCAGGGCGGAGGACATCGCCGGGATCCGGTCAGATTCGACCAAAAGTTCAGGGCGCGGCTCTCCGGGGGCCCGGGGCTCAGCGCACAAAAGAAGCTAGGTGGCAAGGGGCGGCGACGAGCGGGAGGATCGAGCAGAGCTCACCGGAGGTAGAGAAGGAGAAGAGGAAGGCAGAGGTCAGGAGGAGGTTGGCCGGAGGGGAGGGTGGAACGAGGAGAGCAGCGGAGGTAGGTGGTGGAGGCTTGAGCAGGCCGTGTCGCGCGAATCCCGGCGGTGAGTGGTGCGGGGGTCTGGAACAGCAGGGGAAGTGGAGGAGGCGCGGCGGGGGGTAGGGGCGGGGCGTGGGGATGGCGCGCGCCGGCGGGGTTTCCCGGGGAGGGCGCACGGCGGCGGGGAGATCTGGGGAGTGAGCGCGGCGGCAGTTGACCCGTGATGAGTGGGGAGAGGTTGTGGATGAGCCTGGGCCGGGGTGTGTTTTTATTTTTATCAGGTGCTCGCTCCGGGTTCGGGAGTTCGGGAACAACCCGATCACGGGATCAGAATAATATTCTGATCACAACCTGACCTGCCCCGCTAGTAATACGTTGAACTTCCCTGTGAACTAGGTTGAACTTCCGCCAACATTGCCCAAATGGGGCTTGCGATATACCGTTGGAAAGCTATGGACACCAATATCATGACCCAACTTAAATTTTTGGCAAAATATAAGCGGTTTAAGTGCAGTTTTGAAAACCATTTTTTCTTCACACAAAAAACGTGAATCGTATTTTCGATCGCATTTTTAAACTGTTTATCGGAATGAGGCATATAATATGGCGTTGGAAAGCTGCTGCAAAACCGCTCCTTCCACATGTTGAAAGTTTTCTCTAATTCCCTATGGTTAAAGAGTAATTTGAAAAAACGTAAAATTTCATAAACCGAACAGCTGAGTTCGTTTTTTCGATGTCATTTCTAAACGGCTAATCCAATGGAGACATATGATACGGCGTTGGAAATCTTATGAAAATGCGCTACTTTTTCATCTTGAATGTTTTTTTCTAATTTTGAATGGTTTAAGAGTAAATTAGAAAATGGTTCCAAGTCCTACCGAGTTCATATTTTCAAGCTAATTTTTTAACCGTTCGTCCGAATGCAGCAAATGATATGGCGTTGGAAAGCTTGAACAAATGCGAAACTTTTTGGTATGTATTGTTTCTCCCAATTCTTTATAGTTTTAAGTCAGTTTCGAAAATGGCGAAAATCGTATTTTCGCCGTAATTTCTACAAACTTTATTGGAATGGGGCAAATAATATACCGCTAAAAAGCTATGGAAAATGCGGAACTTTTTCATGTTGATGGTTTTTCTGATTCCTAGCTGTTTTCAAGTAATTTTGAAAACAGCGGGATCATGCGTTCTGCCTTTATCGCGAAACAGATTCTTCGAAAATGCACCGCGTGAAGAACCTGAACTTCTCGGCACGTTTAACTGAACTTCACTCTGTTTTTCATGTGATTTTTTTGCTCGTAGCTCTCCATCCACTGCTCATAGCTTTCCATCCACTCACCGGAATTGAGCAAGTGATATACCGATGGAAAACTGCTGTAAACACGCAACTTTGTCGTGTTGATCGTTTTTTCATACTCGCGACAATTTTAAAAGTTTTTCATCTCAAATTCATTCACTATGGTAGTCGAACTTCGTGCTGTTTTCATGTTGAACTTCTGTGTCGTATTTTTGTTTTTACTTTTCCCATCAATTTCGTCAGTGTTACACAAATGATATTCTCTTTGTACAAACCTCTCTCACAACATATTTTTTAACTTTCTCTGACCGAGGACTTGAACTTACACAAATGATATTCCTGCCGTTTTGAAGTAAATTAGAAAATGATGAGATCATGATTTCTGCCTTCATCGCAAACGGAAACGCACTGTATGAAGTAGTTGAACTTCTGGAGCATGTCTGTTTGAACCTCACTCTGTTTTTGGCGTGCTATTTTTTGCAGTGCGTGAAGTAGTTGAACTTCTCGGGCATGTCTATTTGAACTTCACTCTGTTTCACTTTAATTGTTTTTTTCTTATATGAAATACACACCATGTACTACGTGAACTTCTGGTTACTATCACTTTGAACTTCTCTCTGGTTTGAGATAATTATTTTAAAACACAAAAAACAACATTTTTTTGTATTTTGGACAGGTAAATACACGGTGAACCTCTCTCACAAGAATTTTTTGAACTTTTCCTCGCCGAGCACTTGAACTTCTAGCAACTTTTTTTTTCGTTTATGGGTTGTTTTTAAAAGTGGAAAAATGGTGTTGTGTTTTTTATTTTTTGAACATGTAAATCCTAGGTTTTAATAAACTCCGAACTTCTGTGTTATTTCAATTTGAACTTCACCTTTTTATATTTTGAGTAAAGAATAGTATTCGATTTTTATACGGAAATACAAGGTGAACCTCTCTCACAAGAATTTTTGAACTTCTTCCGACAGAGCACTTGAACTTCTTTCAAAAAACCTTTTAAGCTTTTATTTTTTGCGACATTTTATGCATTTTTTGCTTTTCGGCGAAATGGCCTAGCTGTTCCCTTTTCTCATATGATGATTTTTCTTCTACACGTGGTACACGTGAACTTCGGAATTTTTGAAACAAGAACTTCGCGTGCTATTAATTTCAAGAGTTTTCTGTTTTCATTTTTTGCGTACTTTTTCATGCGTGTTTTGGAAAAACTACCCTGCTTGTAAGAATTTTTTTCGCTTTTGCTTTTCATTTGAACTTCTATGCTTTATGTGTATTGTGTTTGTTTTTGCCAAAAGCTACCTTTTTGTGTGCCATTATTTAAAAAAACGTGAGCTTCTACCCGAATTATAAGTACATTTTTCTCCAAAGCAGATGGGATTCACATAAGGAAGAGTTGCGGAAACAAACAGAACACATTGGACTTGAACACAGAATGAAGAAGATCAACACAGCCGTACTAATTACCGCAAAAAATTGTGGTCTCCATTTTTCTTGACGTACTGGATACTTCCAATACATGACCTTCTAGTTAGGTAATGGGAAACGTCCTAGTTATGTAACAAGTACCAAACCGCTCAATTATTTAAATTTGAACTTCTATGTCTTTTTGAAAAGAGTGAAAATTTATTTTTATAAACTTTTAAAACTGCTTGGTTTACTTAATTTGACCTTCTTGGTATTGTAATAAAGATTCAACATCTCCCTTATTTAAATTTGAACCTCTATGGTTTTTTTAGAAAAGAGGAAAATCCATTTTTTATAAATTTTGAACCATAGTATTTTTTAAAATTTTGAACTTCTTAGTATATTCTTTAGTAATGAGGAATCCATGTTTCATATTAAACATCGAACCACTCCGCTATTTAAATTTGAACTTCTTGGTTTTTTGACCTTCTCTATTATTTTATATTTAAACTTGTAAGTGTTTTCAATTTGACCTTCTTGGTTTTTTAATAAACATTGAACTTCTCAGTTAGATAAATTTCAACCTCTAGGATTTCTTAAAGAGGGGGAAAAGCCATTTTTTAAAATAAAATTTGGACTTCTACATTTTTATAATGTTTTTAGAAATGTCTAAAATTCCTTTAAACATTGAGTTACTTCTTTTTAGTTTTTTCACTTGAGTTTCTTCGTGTGAAAATACCATAGTTATTTACGTCAACTTTTAACAGCGAAGGTTCAGACTTCTCTCTCACATAAAGGAATTTTAATTTTTTTAGTTTTGTAAGTGTTCTACTTTTTCCAAATTTTACTCACTCTTTGTTTCAAAAGTTTGGATTTTTGTTCCATGGACTAGCTGGTTTCGCCCTGAACTTCCATTTTCTTTACAAGTTCACAAACATTACACAGACGCCCAGAGTTGCAATTGTAAGTACATACTAAAGAAATTGGTTCCATTATCTTTAAAGATTAACACTTTGAAGAGGACACTGGCTAAATGGGTAAAATGGGGTCAAATGGCAATGCGGTGGAGCTATTCACCACCACACATTTTTTGTCCTCTCATCATTGTATGTGTTCTCTCACACTTTGATTGTCTTTTTGCTTCTTCTCTCCTAGGATGATTAAATCCAGCATTGCCGTAGCAACTAGGAAGATGCATAAATACCATCACGCGAGACAGTGATGTTGAGGGCCTCCTGTATCTTGTACTGAGGAATTCTGCTCTCCAATCTAGGGTCTGGCGAAAAGATCAAATCCCCGATATGAGTCCAATTGCAAGGTGACATGGTTGTCAACATGTGAAAAAGAACAAACATATACACTGCACTGGACTCACCTGTTTTTGTTGGGGGTCGGCCAGTTCTGCCAAGACGGGGATAGGGGAGTTCCTGGGTGCCGCCGAGAACCAGGCGCGGATAGCCCTTGTCCGGCTCACCGAGGTCGTTGTAGTAGTCATAGCGGTACACACGGTCCCACTCCTCGTACTTTTTGGTTGTGCCATCGCCTCGGAGATTGTTGAGTTCATCTTTGACGGTTTTGCACCAAAAGTGCAGCATTTTGCTGGGCAAATAGGTCTGAAAAAATAACGATAAAATGAAGTGACAAATAAACAAAACAAAACCTGTGAGAAGCAGGACTACTCAGTCCCCCAAACCCAGGCAGGCAGGTGCTCTGGGATTGAAAACAGGACTACTACCAATTAACCTGTGAGAAAAACAGATTTCAGTTTGTTTGCTTGTGATCTGTTTCTGAAGACAAGTTTATATGTCTGTCTCCCAATCCCCTGATCATCAGCGGAACACTTAAACATAGTTATTTTTCCTTTTGGTAAACAATAGAAAAGTTGGCATGTTGCTATAAGATCTAATGACTAGCTAGTTGTGGATCGAGAGATTCGGATATGCGTGGGGATGGGTGATTCTTGTCCAGAAAAAAGCCTATTAAACTATCAAACTCATGACACCTGCAACTTGTTGTTTTATAATTGTAATAATACTGGTAACTTGTACGAACTAGTCCGTTATATCTACGAATAAAACTCTTAAGATGAGTTCAGTCAGTAGGGATGGCAGCGGAGCAGTCCATGGCGGCGCGTGCGAGCAGTCCATGTTCTACTCATGCTCTGTATCTTCCTTTGTTCTTGCTTATCCATCAAAATCAAGGCGTCGACTTCATTAGGAGGAAGAAAATAGCATTAGCATTAGCTAGAAAGACTACCTCTTGCGTCTTTAGGCCAGCGGATCTTCACACAGCAGCAACTAGGACGAGATGGTGTGCACCTTGCGAGCCGGATCCTCGGAAGTAACCTTCCTTGAGAAGGTCGAGCTGGCCTTTGCGAGAAGGTCAACCAGCAGCGGTTGGGGAAAGCAGGCGAGTTCAGGGCATCACGACGGTGGACTGACGCGATGTGGAGCAGCCGCAGCGAGAAGAAGACAGGGCGCGGTGATGGAGTGCAGGGCCGGGGTTCCGATGCCTGGTGTTGACGGCGGCAGGATCCAGCAAAGATCACTGGAGGAAGAGAAGGAGAAGAGGAAGGGATTGACAGGATTTCCGCCGACAGCAAGAAAGGGACTGCATGGGGAGGCGGCCATGGACTGCATGCCAGGATGATGGTGCTCGAGGATCCCCGGCGGCGGCGACGATTGGGCCATGGAGGAGCGTGCGGCCATGGCGGAAGTGCGGCAACAGGTTCCCGGTGGCGTGGGCGGCACCCAGCGACCCCGCACTGGTAGGTCCAGGGGGGCGCCTTGGATATGTCGGCCAGCTGGAGGAGGCGCGCAGGGCGGCGAGATCGAGCAAGGGTGGCGGCGCTCGGGGGAGGGGATCGAGGGAGGTCAAGGTGGGGGTCGGGGCAGCGGGCTGGGTGGGGTGGTTTTTTTGGACGGGAGGTGGGGGATCGTGGATGGTGGGGGATCGAGGAAGGGTGGGCTTTTTCTGTCACCGGTAGGTTCGGGAGTTCGGGAACAAGTCCATCGAGCCCTATATAGGGCCACCGTGATCCAAATAACTATTTTGATCCCGGGATCAGAATAGTGCTACTCTATATACATACATACATACATACATACATACATACATACATATATATATATATATATACATAAACAATATTCTGATCACGGGATCAGAATAATATTCTGATCACAACCTGACCTGCCCGGCTAGTAGTACGTTGAACTTCCGTGTGAACTAGGTTGAACTTCGGCCAACATTGCCCAAATGGGGCTTGCGATATACCGTTGGAAAGCTATGGACACCAATATCATGAGCCAACTTAATTTTTTGGCAAAATATAAGTGGTTTAAGAGCAGTTTTGAAAACCGTTTTTTCTTCGCAAAAAAAAGTGAATCGTATTTTTGATCGAATTTCTAAACCGTGTATCGGAATGAGGCATATAATATGGCGTTGGAAAGCTGCTGCAAAACCGCTCCTTCCACATGTTGAAAGTTTCTCTAATTCCCTATGGTTAAAGATTAATTTGAAAAAACGTAAAATTTCGTAAACCGAACAGCTAAGTTCGTTTTTTCGATGTCATTTCTAAACGGCTAATCCAATGGAGGTATATGATACGGCGTTGGAAAGCTTATGAAAATGCGCTACTTTTTCACCTTGAAAGTTTTTTTCTAATTTTGAATGGTTTAAGACTAATTTAGAAAATGGTCCAAGTCCTACCAAGTTCGTATTTTCGAGCTAATTTTTTAACCGTTTGTATGAATGCAGCAAATGATATGGCGTTGGAAAGCTTGAACAAATGCGAAACGTTTTGGTATGTATTGTTTCTCCCAATTCTTTACGGTTTTAAGTAAGTTTCGAAAATGGCGAAAAACATATTTTCGCCGTAATTTCTACAAGTTTTATCAGAATGGGGCAAATAATATACCGCTGAAAAGCTACGGAAAATGCGAAACTTTTTCATGTTGATTGTTTTCTCTGATTCCTAGCCGTTTTCAAGTAATTTCGAAAACAGCGGCATCATACGTTCTGCCTTTATCGCGAAACAGATTCTTTGAAAATGCACCGCTTGAAGAACCTGAACCTCTCGGCGCGTGTACCTGAACTTCACTCTATTTTTCACATGATTTTTTTGCTCGTAGGTCTCCATCCACTGCTCGTAACTCCATCCACTCACCGGAATTGAGCAAGTGATATACCAGTGGAAAGCTGTTGTAAGCACATAACTTTCCCGTGTTGATCGTTTTTTCATACTCATGATGATTTTAAAAGTTTTTCATCTGAAATTCATTCAGCGTAGTAGTTGAACTTCATACTGTTTTCACGTTGGACTTCTGTGACGTATTTTCGTTTGTAATTTTCTCATCAATTTGTCAGTGTTACACAAATGATATTCTTATTGTACAAACCTCTCTCACAATAATATTTTTAACTTTCTCCGACGGAGTACTTGAACTTATAACGACAACAAATTTAGCCTTTGCATTTCTATTCCTTTTTAATACAAAATGCATACCGTGTAGAACGTGAACTTCTGGTAGTTTATCAACCTGAACTTCTCTCGGTTACGTGAAAATATCTAAGTTTTTTATAAATATTAATCTGAATTTCTTAGTCCTTTTTTTGTGAATTTTGAAGCGCTCCATTTTTTAAATTTGAATTTCTTGTTATTTTATTTTTTTAACTTCTTGCTTCCATTGTCTCATAACGAGGGAAATTTGAGTTTTCTATAATCATCGAACTTTTGCATCTTTTTAATACGGACTTCCTGGTTTTATTTCTTAATCTTTTTTATGAAATTTTGAAGCGCTCTATTTTTAAAAGTTGAACTTTTTGTTTCAATTCTTTAATAATGAGGAAAATCTGAGTTTTCTATAATCATCGAACTTCTCCATCTTTTTAATTTGGACTACCTGGTTTTATTCTTAATATTTTTTTATGAAATTTTGAAGCGCTCTATTTTTAAAAGTTGAACTTCTTGTTATTTTATTTTTGAACTTCTTGTTTCCATTCTTTAATAACGAGCAAAATCTGATTTTTCTATAATCATCGAACTTCTCCATCTTTTTAATATGGACTTCCTGGTTTTATTTCTTAATCTTTTTTTCAATTTGAACTTCATGGTTGATTCTTCAATACTAAGGGACATTTGAGTATTTTAATAACGGTAAAATCTCGGGGCTTCCCTGTATTTTGTAGTTTTATTAATCGAAACCAACATATTAAAAACACAATTTTTTTGTATCAACTCATACTGTTAAACTTCAGGAAAAAGTACAAAACAAGAAAGTAGACAACATGATGTACAAATGGGGGCCAAATAAACTAACGGTCAGATTCCCTTCTTATGCCTCACTTAATTTCACATGTACAAATTGACTTCATTTCACTGTTTGACCTTCATCATACACCTCGTATATCCAGCTCAAAATCAAAATGAAAACGATGCCTCTCCAAACACAAGATGTGCATAGAGAGCTATAGTTGTTCCTTTACAACTATTTCTGAACTTCTACGGCCAATCCATTTTTCTGTAGTAGATGCACAATAACTATAGAAGAGAGAATTTTTTGCTGGATGGACAGAGAAGTTTAACGTCGAGGAAGAGTAGGATGCCCCGACAGAGGAGGACATTGGCTGGAAGTGGCCTCACAAGAAGCAGCACTGCATCGCAGCAACACTGATTCTCACGAAGGATGACCATCTTCCTGAACTCAGACCATCTTTCCGAATGGCGGCACAACTGTCCCTTGCACCTCATGTGTGACCTTCTCCCCTGCCATGTGGTGAACTTCTTCCTCCCGCTGTTCATGTGGGTAGCGAGCAGCAGAGCGGCACGAAGGATCCTGGAGACACAAACTTTTGATCATAAATGAGAGAAAAAGCACCAAATAGTAGGGGGCTACTGCTACTAAACCAAATACGGAAGGCTCCAGCCACAACATGTTTGAAATGTCATAAACATACATGATTTTCAAAATAATGTATACATGTTGTTCTATGATTTAGTTCATGTGTGCACAAACATTATTTCAAAAGAAGAGAGTGTGCCATTTGTACTAATCTAGAATCAAAATTATGTGTGAAAATAATAACTGAAGCATAACAAGAAGGTGCTCGATATATCCACAACAACACAAAGTATCCAAGATATTTGCAAAACTGAAACATAACAAGAAGGTGATCACATGGTACAAGCGAATGGTATTGGTTTGGAAGCAGAGAGCTCCCAATCACCTTGCCTTGGTAAATATCCACGGCTACGATGTGCTTCAGCTCACCGATGGTGTTGTACATGCTGTCGACGTTTGAGTGTGTGTGATGATGGCTGAACACACACATCGAGCCTATCCATCCGCTGCTTTTTTCCAGAAATGATGATACACCTAATAATCAACTGATTAGGTAGTGGTGTCATATCAACCAGAAAGTAAGATGTGTTCAGGATGTGTGCACATGCACGACAACTAGCCATGACACTGGAAGATGAGTTGCACTAGCATTAATCAATTTGGCCTGCTGAAATCAACATGGTGAACTGCAGCAATGTTAATTACTGTAGAAAATGGTCAAGAATAGTCAACCATGTGCAGCCATACTAATTTCCTTTTGTCGCATATAAACAAAAGCAGTTGGAGGCATATTTTTCAAGACAAAAATGCTTTAGTGTAGCATGATATAAGAGATTTCTGAACTGAATCAATATGGGTTTAATAAGAAATACTCCAAGGCAGTGGCATATTTGAGCATGTGAATGAGCATGTAAACATTTAAATTTAAAAAGTAAATCTGTTTCCTACTGGAAAATACATCGAATCAAAAAAAATGACTAATTACGGCCGAAAGCACCATAAGTTATTAAAAGTTGAGAGGATAATTGAACGGAGCAGTTTAAGGTAGCAAGCAATTTCTCCCAAAATGGTGATTTTCTGTTTTTTGGACCATATTTTCAGTCGGTATAGGCATGGGAGAAGGATGCTCACCATCGACAGGAGGAGTCGCGATGAAGGAAACTGGTATGCGGTAGGAAGTTCAGGAAGCAGTGTCGGGCGGGAGGCAGGCAACAGCCGATGCTTGGAGAGGAGGATGGCGGGGGTTGCGGGGTGAGGATGTCCGTTAGCTGGGGCAACTGCTGCGGGCGCGATGGCGGTCGTTGGTTGCGATGGCCGATGGAGGTCCAGCGGCTTGGGGTGCGTCGGGCCGGTTGGGTCGGTGGCGGAAGGCGTGGCTGGACTGAGCAGCTAGCAGACGGAGCCGCACAGGGATCGGGGGCGGCGATGGGACTGACCGGCCGGCTGCGGGAGGCGCGCTGGGGTCGGGGCGGCGATGGGGCCGAGCTGCTGTCTATGGGAGGCGCGTTGGGGTTGGGGCCGGCGACGGGGCCGAGCGGTCGGCGGCGAGAGGTGCGCTGGGGTCAGGGTGGCGATGGGGCTGAGCGGCCGGCGACGGAAGGCCTGTCGGGGTGGGCGGCGGCGACGGGGCCGGGGTGGCCGGTGACGGGAGGTGCGCCGGCACCAGGGGCCACCAGTAGTTGTGGAGAGGAGCGAGCGCTCCATGGCGCTGGATCGGGGAAGGGCAGGTTGGGGATCGGGGAGGAGGTGGTGGACGAGTGGATGTGGGTGTGGCCTTTTTTCTCTCCGCAGGTTCGGGAGGATATCAGGAAACATCCCATCGCTACCTATATAGGGCCCCGTGATCCAAATAGTTATTCTGATCC